TGTGGCATTATACTCACATCTCACATTTTAACATGATTTCTTCAAAAACAATTATATATATATATATATATATGGATCTTTATATGAAATGTTATAATTAATAATTAATATTATAAATAAACAAGTAATGTTTTATTAATATCTATTAATCATATTTTATGTTATTAATATTTTATAATATATTAATATACTACTAATTTAAACAGTTTTAAATGAATATAGCCTGTTTAAATATAAATAAACATAAAAATAAAATATAAATATATTTAAAAAATTGCACGTGAAATCTAAGTGAAGTTTATAAATAGTGGCTTTTGGCTTCTTACATTTTACCACATGAAGAAAATACTGGATTGCATGCTGATAGAGGCGCAGAGCTTCCTCGTAGTTTTTGGCCTTGTCCTCCTCAGAAGCTCTGCTGGCCAAATCAATGGCTTTCTATTGTGCACAAGTAAATATACAAGAGATATTCAAAAAGGAAAAAAAAATAGTGTTTTTCTTGCTAAGGCTATCATTTTATTGTATGTGTCATAAATGCAAGCAATTACATACAATATTTCACACTTTGGAAATAAATTAAATTAAATTAAATAACAAATAAAAATAATTGGAAATAAAATTATTCTGCACACAAGCGATATAAATGAAATAATAAGATCTAAAACTGTCTGTAGTTACACAAACACCCATATATAGATGACTTGGTCAGGTTGTAAAGCAATGACAGGCCTGTTTAAATGTTTCAAATCTTGAATTCAAATGAAATCTGTGTTGGACTGTCTGTGTTAAATAAGATGATGTTATAGTGTGGTGTAATGTACGGATAACTGGTTAGACCAGTTTAAGGACAGGCTAATGAATACATACAGGAGATTTAAAAAAAACATACAAGACAGGAGCTTTACAATGTAACAAATAAGTTAAGAAGCTCTTTCTTATATGTATGTATGTATCAAAATAATAAACAAGCGAATATAACGAACACATAAAAAATACATATATCCTAAACAACAACATAATTATATTTTCGACTGTATGTTGTCGAAGCATACGTTTAAAGAGAACAGAAAAATGACAAGAAGTATAACAATAATACATATATTATATATAATAGCATGAAAAGGTCCACTATTATGGCTGTTATATCGCTCTTACCTGTAAATTGGCATTTGTCATTGTTGACGGTGAACTTATAATATGTTACTGCGGGAACGGTTCAAATATATACATTTTTTTAAATGAATGTATCGCGGAATCTCGGTAAATCTGTGCGTCTCGCGCACTTCCGCGTCGAGTGTTTACGGAGGAGGACGAGCGTCGAGCCACACCTTTCCCGCGCATCGGACACGCCTTCTTTGCGACGCGCCAAAAAGTACTAGTTTACTGATACAAATAATATAAAATATACTTTAAATAATTAAAATAATAAAAGAAAATACATAATAAAATAAAAATTCTCGTTTTGAGCAAATAAATGGATTTTTAAATATTTCATTCCCTCTTAAAATACGCTAAAAAGCAGCATTTTCGTTTACATTTATTATTTTGACAAATAAACAGTTCACCACACTTCTTGCACAGACAAAAAGCTAAATAGAATAAGAAACGCATATTTAAGAACCAAGATTTTGACATTTCTCGAAGATAATATGAAGTTCAAAATGTATTTCAGTGGAGAATAAATATGGCAAGAAAAAAAATACACCTCAAAGACCCAAGAATTACAGTTTACAAACAAATAAAAATTAAATACTGTAGCAATGTTTAAAATAAAATGGATTTTTTTAATCATGTTTTTGTGTATGCAATCAAATAAATATTTTTTAAATAGTCAAAAGACGTTAAAAGCAGCATTTTCATGTATTCTTTTGACAAATATACATTTTAGCACACTTCTCACACAGACAAAATGCTACATAAAATGTTGAGAAAACAAATATTTACGCACCAAGATTTAAACTTTTCTAAAGAAAACAAAGTCTGAATTCCATTTCAGCAGAAAATAAATATGGCAAGACAAACTACTCATCAAAAAGCCAAGAATACGTTTTTTAATCTTTTTATTTTTTACAAATATTGAGCTTTTTTTATTATTATTGTGTTGTGACTAGCTATTTGTTTGTGAAGTTTCCCTTTCTTTGTTTTAGTAGTCCTATGACATAAACACTGATTCATGAGCTCTTTTAAAGAAAACATGCTATTAATTCAAATATATTTGCAAGCTACAAGACACTACTAAAATAATGATACCAAAATAATTGTTTAAACGTTTTATTTTTTCAACAAAAAAACATAAGCTGCTTCTTACAAAATATACAAATTTGGTAAATGTTTTAGACTTAAAAAAAAAAAAAAGTACATTATGTCATAACATTTCCGAGATGAAGAATAAGCAATTCTGCTTTTCAGTGCATTGTTGCAAGCAAGCAACATTATAAGATGGGCTGTTTGAGACAGGAAAGCTGTTCCGGGCAGCGGCTCCTCTCTCAGGAGGATGCAGTGCATTAATTTTTCATCAGTCTAAAAACAAGGACAGCAGAGACAGCTAAGAGCAAACCCAGCAGTCATCAGCTCCCTCCATTCAAAATATTTCATTCCCTCTTAAAATACGCTAAAAAGCAGCATTTTCGTTTACATTTATTATTTTGACAAATAAACAGTTCACCACACTTCTTGCACAGACAAAAAGCTAAATAGAATGTTAAGAAACGCATATTTAAGAACCAAGATGTTGACATTTCTCGAAGATAATATGAAGTTCAAAATGCATTTCAGTGGAGAATAAATATGGCAAGAAAAAAATACACCTCAAAGACCCAAGAATTAGTTTACAAACAAATAAAAATTTAATACTGTAGCAATGTTTAAAATAAAATGTTTTTTTTTAATCATGTTTTTGTGTATGCAATCAAATAAATATTTTTTAAATAGTCAAAAGACGTTAAAAGCAGCATTTTCATGTATTCTTTTGACAAATATACATTTTAGCACACTTCTCACACAGACAAAATGCTACATAAAATGTTAAGAAAACAAATATTTACGCACCAAGATTTAAACTTTTCTAAAGAAAACAAAGTCTGAATTCCATTTCAGCAGAAAATAAATATGGCAAGACAAACTACTCATCAAAAAGCCAAGAATACGTTTTTTAATCTTTTTATTTTTTACAAATATTGAGCTTTTTTTATTATTATTGTGTTGTGACTAGCTATTTGTTTGTGAAGTTTCCCTTTCTTTGTTTTAGTAGTCCTATGACATAAACACTGATTCATGAGCTCTTTTAAAGAAAACATGCTATTAATTCAAATATATTTGCAAGCTACAAGACACTACTAAAATAATGATACCAAAATAATTGTTTAAACATTTTATTTTTTCAACAAAAAAACATAAGCTGCTTCTTACAAAATATACAAATTTGGTAAATGTTTTAGACTTAAAAAAAAAAAAAAGTACATTATGTCATAACATTTCCGAGATGAAGAATAAGCAATTCTGCTTTTCAGTGCATTGTTGCAAGCAAGCAACATTATAAGATGGGCTGTTTGAGACAGGAAAGCTGTTCCGGGCAGCGGCTCCTCTCTCAGGAGGATGCAGTGCATTAATTTTTCATCAATCTAAAAACAAGGACAGCAGAGAGCGCTAAGAGCAAACCCAGCAGTCATCAGCTCCCTCCATTCAGCAGCGGCAGGCGCAGGACTCTCAGGATGCGCTCGTTCTTCGTCAGATCCTCCGGCAGTTCATTATTCTGTGGAGAGAACGTGCCATTAAAACACCAGATAAAACCAGATTATCATTCATCTGTGCTTTTATGATCTACTATGAAGTGAATTAGATTACTGCAGCATTTATCACATTTTTAGCCATTGACTGCAGCACATTCATTACTTAAACGCTCACACTGACCAGTAGATGTCAGCACTATTTTTTCAACTAGCAACTATTTTTGTTAACCTTTAAACTACATACAACCTTTTAACTATTTTTTGACAGAACACCTTTACCTATGATTTTACCTACACACACACACACACACACACACACACACACACACATACATATATATATACACACACACATTTATTT